ATTCCACTCCATTAACATATTAACTCTGCAGCTTTGAGGAATATATAAGAGAGCTGGTTGAAGGGCAAAATACTCTTACATCAATAGCCCTCTAAGGGTTAAGAAGTTACTAAATTTATCATATAGTATGGAGCTTCACCAATCCTCGAACGAAACAACTACAACTCAAAATTACATTTTGGATTGCTTTCTCCAAGATTTGTGGAACGTAACACAAAAAGTGAAGTACAAATTTTGGAGAGTGCATGAAACCATTCTATCTATAGTTTCTGGTCAGTTTTTAAGCTTGTTTGATTAAATTAAGTGTATAATTTTTTTATAGTAACATAATAAAACAACAAAATTTAAAATTTGTGTCTTGTTGCAGAGCTGCTCGATCTATTAGCGTAAAATTTACTGTGTCTAAGCTTTCTCAAGCTTTTGGGGGATACGGAACAAGAAATAGGATGCAGTTTTTGGAATGTGCCTGGCACCGCGCGCCGTTCCACCTATAATACCTCGTAAGTAAAAACTAAAATAAAAAATAAAAATAAAAACAAAATTAAATTAACAACATTTTTTTTCCTTGCAGAGCAACTGGATTTATTAATGCAGAATTCACCGTTATTATTTCACAGCCCCCAAAAAATGTTCCATACCCCAATTATAATCCCTGGTTGACATGAATTAATTATGATACATACCACCACCATTAATTACATCAGATTCTAACAGCATTTATCAACCATAGTTATCGTCATCTGCATCAACGAACCTATCATTTGCATGGAGAATGGAGTTGCGCTCGTTCCGTGAGCGATGCTCACTTGAATACCACTCATCAGTAACAGCGTTAGATTTAAGAATGCCTATAACTGCTGCTGTCAACGCTCTTATGAACAATGATTTGGTGACATATTCTCTAACACTTGACAGTGACTAACAAGTGCCGTTAATTGATTGAACTGCATAAACACATTTTGTTCAGAAACCGCCAGAAGTGATACTAGTAGCAGAAAAATGATATGCAGCAAACAAAAGATTTAATAAATCGCATGAAAGACTAAGAAAGCTTTTTAGTGTGATTAAAATAGAAATTGAAAAATTGTTTGGATATATTTCGTAAATTACATATTACTTATCGTTTTTTATTTACATCACTTTCATCAAAACAATACGTACTTATCATCTTTTAAATCTGATTGTGTATATATATAGATGCACTTCAACATACAGTTAGATACCACTTCGAGGAATTTTGCAAAAAATGAGAGACAGAGTTTGAAGACATACACTCGTGTCAGAGCTATTGAGTGTGTTCATACGTTTGTACATACAATCGTGTAAGCTTTTGCGAGCATATTACATTATATACTACCTTATTATGTTAAGTAGAATAAGAAAGCATGCGTAGAGATCTTAAAATATGATGAGAGAGTAAGCCCTCCATAATCATCTAACAGCTCTTCCATCCACTGCTTTACAGAGCTTCCAAGGTATTTCATGCAATAGGACGATCATATTTCCCCATCAATAAATCCAAGATAAACGCGAGAAGAGAGAACTCATGCACACAGTGTCCCCATCCACAAATCTAACATCAGAGTGAGACAGAAAAAATAACTTGTTTGCGTGGTTTCCCCTTCTACCGTATCCTGGAGCCCTCACACAATAGCGTCAGCTATCGGCGAGCTGTTCCACTATCCCTTTTTCCCCACCACCATGGTCAAAAGCACTCGTACAACAACACAAGATCTAACCTAGCACATGGAGAGAGCTCTGATGCTATGGTAGTATGCGAATCTATATATTACCAGAGTACAGTGCATCACATACTACAGTAGCGCCCGTGGAATGCAGCGGTAGTATCGAGAGTCTGCTACGGTAGTGTAAGAGCCTATATACAACTGTAGATCGTGAAACGTACTACTAAAGCTTCTGCCTTATACTACAGTAGCACCATTGAGGCGCTGGGTAAGTATCAAATCTCACGTACTAAGTTAGCTCGGGACGCATACCAAATTGGTATGGCTCACGAGCAAACGTAGTATACGTCGTCTGTATTATGACACTATACCGTTATTAGTAGGTTTTCAAGTTATTCTTATAACTTTGGGATCATTAAGACAATGCGCATGGTGATAAGGTTTATTTAATGGAACGTATTAAGAAATGTTTTTTTGTAAGCCAAATTAACCTATACAAAAAGTTATAGACTCGTATCATTTCATTTTTTTTCTTTGAGGAAACGATTAAGCACGAATATTATCTTGGATGAAAATATTTAGTAAGTTTGTTATAATGACACAGCACGTCGACTTTACAAACTGTTACATATATTTCTATCCATACCTATCACCACTATTACATCGAAATGCTTATGTTAATGTGTCTCACAAAATTTTTCAGATTCAAAAGTATGCAAACGAAAAATCTCAGTTACTTTAATTATCGTAGTTATCATTTTTATGTAGAGCTTATAAGATTTTTTTATGATAAAAGAAATAATATTAGACAACAAATAATTTTTCAATCAGTTTTAACATATTTTTCTAAAAAAGTAAAGATGTACGGTTTTGCAATGCTTTTTCTTTTGGATAATCTCAGTATACAGGAGGTCTCAATTTTTTCTTACACTTACTATTGTTAACAACAAAATATTTAAGCTTACACATTTAACATTACAACGTCTCTTAACAAAAAATCTGATATAAAAATACAAATGAAGATCTTGAAAAAGAAACACTTATGCAGCTTTGTATTGCATTTGCAATTCGGTCTTGAAGGTTATGCCACCGAACAACGGTATAATGGCGTAGTACAGACGATGTATACTACGTTTGCTCGTGAGCCATACCAATTTGGCATGAGTTTCGAGCTATCTTAGTACGTGAGATTTGAAACTTATGTAGCGCTTCAAGGGTGCTACTGTAGTATAAAGCAGAAGCTTTAGTAGTGCGTTTCACGATCTACAGTTGTATATAGGTCCTTATACTACCGTAGCAGACTCTCGATACTACTGTTGTGTACCACGAGTATGTCACGCACTGAACTCTAGTAGTATATAGATACGCATACTACCACAGCATCAGAGCTCGCTCCGTGCACTGTAGGGTTGAAAACAGAACTGGCCTAGCTTATCTACTAGCAGAGCAGAGCAACCAATATTAATGTTAGAAATAAAGTTTAAGAAATTTCATTGAGGATGTCTAACCATTAAATTTATTTCGAAAAGTTTTTCGGTGTAAAGTACATTATAATATAAATATTTTTATATTTATGTGACGGTGAGATACCGTCGAGCCATGATCGGTAGGCTAGGACCGATAGGGAAAGAAGGAAAAGGGAAAAACGGAGAGGACAGTTAGGAAAGAATGGAAAGGGAAGAAAAAGCCGAAAAGAGATCAGATTAGCTTGGGCCATCGAACGTGCGCGAAGCGAGTTTTTCCGTGTTGCCGTCTCCCGTTGTTTTTCTTCGTTTTTTGGTTCCTGTGAGAAGTGGTGGTGCGAAGTCAACGCCACGGAAAGTGTTGGTGTCGTGATCGGACTCTGGAAACCGACGATAAGGGCAGACCAAGTCCAGGTCTGACGACCTTGATCTCCACACACAGCCAGTAGGGACGCCTACTGGCCTCTGCGAGATCACACCAACTACGTCTAGTTCGGCCTATCCAAGGCAGTTGTGAGAAGCGACCTTTCCACCCCGCGTAAGTACCTGCCAACAGGCAGTCTGTTGTAAAGGGCAGCGGCCCTAAATTAGCCCGCGTAGGTCTGCCCGGTTCGCGTTTTCGCGCCGCGAGCACGTCGAGCAAGCGCGCTCGACGTGCGGGAATTAAACACACACACGCACACACACACACACACACCTGCGAAAACCTTTTTGTAATCATTTTTATATTCATTGAATATATAGTTTTATTAACAAAAAAATACCCGTGAGTGCTACTTCTTGTCTGTGTGTGCCCGATCCCCCGTTTTGCCGTGTATATTCGTCGCGAGAGGCGACGACGTGTAAGGTCACCGCGATACCTGATCCAACAGCGGTGTCTCGGCGAACGAGACTCGCAAAATATATTACAGGGAGTGTCACCGTTGGGTATCCGGGCAACCCAGGCCCGGTCGAAGTGGAGGGACTCCGCCTCGTCAATCCGCGTGATCCACCCCGTAACAATACATATATATAATTAATCATTAAAAAAGTGTATTTTAAAAAGATCTGTAATTTTTGTATTAATTATTTTGTATAAAATTGTTATGTACAAAAACGAAATGATGCAAAAAAATTTTTTTGGCTAATTTGAAACGTTTTTCGTTAATTTAATTTTTTTAAATGTACCCGAGCAAAAGATTAAACGCTCAAATATATCTTGTTTCAATTAGCTCTACAATCTTAGTGTGAAACAGTTAGTTGTAAAATTTCAATTTATTTATCTTACTGTCAATTTTTTTTTTTTTTTTTTGCTGTTTTTGAATATATTTTACTTTCCGTAGCATCTGCACCGCGATGCAGAGCAAAGTGCATGACACAAAAAAGTTGTCCTTTACTGAGATTTAAAACTCTGTTTTTGAACACAAGCCTGTGAGGTGTACGTAAAAAAACTATTCCTAGAGAACTAGTTGTCTGCCTAAGAGCACTGAGCTAAAAATGATGTCAAAATTTTTCGTTTTAATAAAACTTCTTTAAGTATGAGGCATTAACTTAGACATTGAACTTGAAGCTACAAACAAAATTAAATATATTTTGAATCGCAATTACTAGATTTACTCCAAAAACTAAATAGCGTATATACATGGGGAACGGAGCAAGGGTGAGGCTCTGGTAGTAACGAGGTGCCTCCGTGTCCAGGTACGGGAGGAGGAGCACTGGGTCAAGAAAGGAAACTCTGGACAACGGTTAATAAAACTTTAATCTCATAAGCAAGTACAAAAAGACGTAACGCTGCTGCTTGCTCTGTCTCTTTTCTTCTCCCGCAGCTGAGGCGACGAATGGTAAGGTTCGCTCGGCTTATGCTGATTTGCAGTTAGAAGGAGACACGAGGTGTCAGCAGCTGCTTGCGCCTTGAGTGTGCAGCTTGCACACATTGCTGAGTTGTCACATCCACTCCCCTTTCAGTGAGAAGCTTTGGGGGGTCTGCGAACGATACGGATCGCCCTGGCTGTTTTGGATTGCTGGAAGGCACGGGCGGCGGGTCCACAGGCTCGGATAAGACCGAGTGAAGTAAGGTGTCTTCAGCAGTACAGGGCGGCTCTGCTAGCTCTAAGTGGGCTGGTTTCAATTGGTCTATAGAGACGACTTCGGCTTCCCCGTCAACTCCAACTGTGAACGTTCTTGAATCGTTGCGATTGATGACACGATGGGGGCCTGTATGTGGCTGCTCCAGTAGTTTCTTGATTTTGTCATCTCATTTGAAAACGTGCGAGCATTTGTCAAGATCCTTGAAAACAAAAGGTCGTGCGGGTGAATGGTGTGCTGCTGGGACTGCTTGGGGGACTTGAAAAGTTGTCGTGAACCTTTTACGAACGTTGAGCTGTCCGCTTTGGAAGTAGTCGTTGTAAAAAATTCTGCTGGGACCTGGAGTGAGGTGCCGTAGACAATCTCTGCTGGAGAGGCCTTCAGGTTTTCTTTGTAAGTTGTCCTTAAGCCAAGAAGTACTGAAGGCAGTGCATCAACCCAAGGCAGGGTGGTGCACTTGAGTGCGGCCATGAGAGCCCGGTGGAGGCGCTCGACCATGCCGCTCGATTGAGGGTGGTATGCGATTGTTTTGACATGCGTGGCGCTGATTATCTTGGCCAGTTCTTGAAATAGTGCGGACTCAAACTGTGCTCCTCTGTGACAGCAATTGGCTGAGGGCTTGTGTTATTGCTGATTTTGGTCTCAGAGTCAGAGCTGGACACGTCAGAGGAATGTGGAAGGTCGTTTTCGGGCAAACATGCTCGAGACAGAGCATCTGCAACGACGTTGTCTTTGCCTCGGGCGTGCATTAACACGGTGTTAAATTGCGAGATGACTTCGAGGCAGCGAGCTTGTCTTGGTGTGGCTTTGTCGGAGCGTTGACGGTGCGCAAAAACTAGTAGGCGGTGGTCCGTGAACGTAGGGAACGGGCGGCCCTCCAGGATTCCTTGGAAATTTTTTATGGCAGCGCTGATTGCCAGCAGTTTCCGATCAAAGGTGCTGTAGAGGCACTGCGTCAGGTCTAACTTCCTCGAGAAGAAACCTAGTGGTCGCCATGCGCCGTTTTCATTTTGCTGTTCCAGTGCTGCGCTGATAGCTATATCTGAGGCATCGGTCCTTAGGGCTAGTGGCGCACCTGGATGCAGAAAGATGGTGCAAATCGCTTCGATGATGGAGTCCTTGCAAGATTTAAAGGCTTGTTCCACTATGGTGGTCCAAAGAAGCTTCTTTTTTTTAGTTTCGCGTTTGAGCAATTCATGGATAGGTGCTTGTATATTGGCAGCGTGTGGAATGCATGGCCTGTAGTAATTAAGCATTTCTATAAACCGGCGAAGCTCTGAAGCATCGGTTGGCTTAGAAAAGTTATTTACTGCAGTGACCTTGGTCTCTGAAGGTTGTATGCCGTCTTCAGAGACCTGAAAACCTAGGTAGAGTACTTGCGGATTTCCGAAGGTGCACTTTTGTCAGTTGATTTTGAGCTGGGCTTCTCTAAGAGCTGTGAAAAGGTGCCGAAGGTGGTTTAGATGTTCCTAATGTGAAGTAGAAGCAACGAAAATATCGTCAATATAGCCCTTGGCAAATGGCAGCTTGCGCAGAATATGGTCGATCGTCCTTTGCATCGACTGGGCTGAGTTTCGCAGGCCTAGTGAGGTGCCCAGAAACTCAAATAGGCCAAAAGGCGTTGTCACTGCTATTTTTTTAACGTCGTCCTGAGCTACTGGTATCTTATAAAAGGCTTTTTGCAGGTCAACAGTTGAAAAAACTTTACCTGGGCTCTCCTGAATCAAGTCCTGTGTGATGGGCAGCGGGTACATGTCTGGTATTATTTGAGAGTTAAGTCTGCGGTAGTCGCCTGTTACCCGGAATGAGCCATCCTTTTTGGGCACGAGGTGGAGCGGGCTAGCCCATTGGCTGTTCGAAGGACGAATGATGCTCTTATCTAACAGTTCGTAAAAAACTTTTTGGGCTGCTGCCAGGCGCTTACCTGCTAGTCTTCTGGGACGTTCGGCCACTGGTGGGCCGGTAGTGACGATGGTGTGTTTCACGGGCAGATTAGGAATCTATGCTGGACTGCTTGAAGCTTTGAAGAGATCGGCAAATTCTTCAAGTAGGGCTGAGTATCGCTAAATCAAAGAGTCATCCGTTGGTGCTTCGAGTGCGGAGACTGAGCAGAGTTCTGCTTTTCTGACGGAGCAGTTGGCGGCCAGGCTGGTGCATGGGTTGACGAGTTTTCTATTTTTGCAGTCGAACAGGAGATGATGTAGGGCCAGGAAGTCGGATTCTAGGATTGCAGTAGAGAGGTTAGCCAAGATAAAATCGCCTTGTAGGTCTCTTCATAGGCTAAGATTGAGAGTGAGATGCATTTTGCCATACGTTGAGATTGGCGCGTGGTTGGCAGCAAATAGCATCAGAGGCTGCTAAACTTCTGTTCGCCTTGACAGGGCTTTGGGCAGTAGAGATACTGAGGAGCCAGAGTCAACTAAAAAATGCATACGTAAGCGAGAATCGAATATAGGCGTGTGTCAGAACCCGTTTGGGCCTCTGTCGCCTGGACCAGAGGCGGGCCTATTCGTTTCCCTGTGCCAGAGGGATGAAGTTGGACGAAGTAGTGCAGTGTTCTGCTTTGGCACCAAATCTCCAGTGGTACCAGCAAACATCTGGGATGGCTGGGGTGGCAGAGCGGCTTCGACGATTTCTAGATGTCGAGCGATCAGGGTTGCGTCCCCACTGTTGGCCTCAGGCAGGTGGTGCATGGGCTTGTTAAATTGTCAGCTAGGCAACAGCTGCTCTAAGCACCGCAATTTTTTTAAGCAGATCCGAGGTGGTGGTGGTAGGCGGGATGTAAGATGCCTTGTAGATAGCCATGACAGTGCCTTCAGTTTCCACGAGCTTGTCAGCTGCCTTAGCAAATTCATCCATTGATGCTGTCTTGCGGATGCTCAAATGCATGGTGGCGGCTTGAGGGAGTGAGTCAAATACATGAAAGATACTTGAGAGTAATTGCCGGAGCATCTTTTCAGCAGAGTCCGTGGTGCGTGATAAAATGGCGTCTTTTAGTGTCTTGTACTTCTGATCAGCCGGTGGAGGGTCAATAATGTCCATAACCTCCATGGCTATTGTCTGGTCAAGCGCGCCAATAAAAAGATTGAATTTTGCGTTGTCGTCTGTGACGTTGCTTGAAGCCATCAAACACTCTGCCTGTATGAACCGTAGCCTTGGAGCATTACGCTAAAAACGGGGCAGGTCGCATTTTGTTGACATTTCTTCTGGCGTTGTGTTGTTGCTTGGGCACGTTTTTGACTCGTCGTTCACGTGGTCGTAATCGGAGGACGAGTTACTGCCATGCGAGGTGTTAGGTGCGGGCGGCGGTGGTTTGTTGTTTTCGGAGGGAGGGAGCCCTGTTGCCTCGAGCAGCGAGAGTGAAGGCAAAAATGTTGGTGGCTTGCCAACAGCGGGGGCGGTTGCTGCCTTGTTGAGCGAACGCGCGGGGTTGAAAATTGCAGCACTATCCTCGAAGGAAGTACCGGTAATACCTTGAAGTCGCAGTGAGGTTCTCGTTTGTGTGTCCCCACTGGTACTTAAACAGCCGCGTCCTTTTGAAGGAGGTACGTCTTTTATGCCAGGCCCAAGATGGCTGCCTTTTTCGACGCCATGTGCCTGCCTCGTGTTGAGCCTTCTTGTACACTCTTCGCGCACTCACTTGATTTTTTCCCCTAATTTTAGTTGCTCGGGGTCACCACTATGGGGACCAAAGCGAGGGTGAGGCTCTGGTAGTACGGAGGTGCCTCCGAGTCCAGGTATGGGAGGAGGAGCACTGGATCGAGAAAGGAAACTCTCGACAACGGCTAACAAAAATTTATTCTCATTAACAAGTAAAAAAAGGCGTAACGTCCGTCTCAGGTGACGGCGCAGGCTAGAAGTAACAACAAAGTAAAATGTGTGAACTCGGCGCCACTGCTGCTTGCACTGTCTCTTTTCTTCTCCCGCAGCTGAGGCGACGAATGGTAGGGTTGGCTTGGCTTATGCTACTTTGCAGTTAGAAGGTGAATCGAGGTGTCAGCATCTGCTTGCGACTTGAGTGTGCAGCTTGCACACATTGCCAAGTTCCCACATATACATACTTCCACACGTGCACTATGTGACAAACTTGGATCACCCCCATTTTAGAATCAAAGCTTATTTTATATTCAAAAAAGCAATAATTTAGACATGGTAATAATTTTTGCTATCAAAAAATTACAAAGCTCTACCATACATTGATCCTACCTTAGTTTTTGCAGTACATGAATAAAAGAATAGAGGTTATCTAAGTCATTTTAGGTAACTTGCGTGAAAAGTTTAAAAAATTATAATCTTTGAGGAGGGTTGATGAAAACCTAATAAAAGTCTAAGTCCTTCAGGGATCATAGAGGAACTACAGGAAGATGCAAGAAATACAGTTTTTGGAGAGGGGGAGATTAAAACCTGAAAAATTACTAAATCCTTGCAGAGGTTGGTAAGGGGAGAGCAGGGGAAATGAAAAGAAATTTATAAAATTAGGAGGGCTGTTATACCCTGGAAAACTTCACAGTTCTTGGGAAGGATGAATGGGGCTTACTAAAATGCATAAAATATAAGTTTCCAAGGGCTGCTATTCAAAACCTTTATGATTTCTAAGTCCAAGAAAGACAATTACAGAAGGTTATGTTGTAGGGGGTCTCTTTGATAGTGATTTATTTAAGAATCCCTTTGCCCCTTTCTCTGTCCTTACTTAAATATCCAATTNCTACTACTACTACTACTACTACTACTACTACTACTACTACTACTACTACTACTACTACTACTACTACTACTTCTACTACTACTACTACTACTACTACTACTACTACTACTACTACTACTACTACTACTACTACTACTACTACTACTACTATTACTATTACTACTACTTATACTACTACAATCTTCTTTTTTGCATGCTTCTTCTTCATCTGAATGTTTTTCGTCATTAACACTAATATGTTCGTATATTAGTCGATTTTAACCGCTAGTCGATGATTGTGAATTTTTCACCGCAAGTCAAAGTGTAAAAATTATACCTGATCAATTAACATAGTAATACAGTCTGCTTATCTCTTATAATGGTCGGTGTACATTTCGTGATTGTATCAACATTGAAAAGTTATTCGTCCTCAAGTGTATCATCATGCATTTGCATCATTACTAGGCATAACTAAATTTTTAATGACTGAAAGTGAACAAAAGCAAAAGAAAATGGGTCGTGGGACCCATGATAGAAGTGAAACTTTAAGTATAAAATATTGAACGCATTTTATACGGAAAATTGTATGAGAAGCAATCATATGTGTTATTGCTACGAGTTAAGATAGACCTACAATTTCATAAAGATAGACCTGAAATACGAATTTAAGGTTATGTAATTATAACAAATGACACCCCAATTTGTGCGTCTCAATATTTTATTTTCCCTATAGGATACCCGTAAGAAATTGGTATTTTTGGCTCATTTTGCTTGTCCGTCGAGGTATGACGATTTTTCTCATTTTATGAGGTTA